GTCGTAGCAGAAGTGGTGGTGGTGGTGGTAGTAGTAGTAGTAGTAATAGTAATAGTAGTAGCAGTAGTAGTAGTAGTAGTAGTAGAAGTAGAAGTAGTAGTAGTGGTACTAGTACTGGTGGTGGTGGTAGTAGTAGTAGTAGTAGTAGTAGTAGTCGTAGTAGTAGTAGTAGTAGTAATGGTGACAGTTGTAGTATAATTTCATAGGATGGTGGTTTTAACAAACTCCCAACATGGGTGCTAGCCAAAAGCCCCTAAAAGTGTTTCACTGATGTTTCTGCTGTTTCATAATGAAACTGCTGTGGGATCGTCTGCTCCCAAGCTTCTGGTGGATTATTGGTAGGAAGAATTGTCCAGGACACGAATGTTTTCTGGTTAATAGGGAAAACTATCAATTTCAGCAGAATGATAATCCCAATACCTTGGTGCTCCCCGGGTACTTTCTTACATGCACTCTAGTCTTCATGATGGAACTTGGAATTTCTCTGTAAATTATCTGGCACACGAAGTATGTCGAAATCGGATTTCTTCATGAATGTAAATGCACTGGACATTAGTATTTATTCAAGCTTCTTGTCCGGGTGCTCGCATTAACGTCAACTGCACCACCAATAACGAAATTCTGGCAATTGTTAATGAACATACTGCAAGTAATATCTTTTAATCGTATGACATACCCTTCCAATCGCGAACCCCACCGAGAGAATTAGAAGGATTTGAGTGCGCAGGAGGGGCGTTCTGCTATGCATCTGTCAGCCCATCTGCCCCTCTTCACATTACATTTCGTATTTATATATGTGTCCTGATGTCACCGGAACAGGCCCAGGGGGGGGAACTTTTTGATGATGAAAGTACATACCCAGTTACCCTACTTGGGGCTTTCGTACCGGGTCGACCTCACGATGAAGTAGCCCTTCGTCCTTGAAGCTTGTTTATGCAAGCGGGTCGGTCACTGAGTGCACTTGTTTGTACATTAAAGTCCCGGCCGGCCGATGTTTTCCGCTGCATTTAAGCACTTTAGCCGCATCCCCACACTGGCGTGGTGTGCTGACTGTCGCAGTTTCAACCGTCGAGGGATAAAGCCTTGAGCGCTCTCCCATAAGTCTAAGTTGCACACAGCTCTGTCATTTTTTCCCAAAGACTCTTCCTATTTTCTTACCCAGTTCCGACCTGACTGTGGTAGACGGTTTTACAAAAGGCTAATCTTCGGTGGCTACATGGGGCATGTCGCGGGTTCAGATGACGTATCTGCTATTAAGCATCGTGCCGCGGTAGCTGCATCACCGAGAGATTCTATATCACCAACCCACCTCTCTTGTTATTATCCACAAAGACAAGGGAGACTGGAATGGCCATTTCTGACTTATTAGCTGTCGTCAGTCAGTCATACCCAACCCCGAAGTGTGGAACACCTGGGGCTCGATCCCGCGACCTGTCAGTTAAAAGTCCAACGCCTCTAACTACTGGGCCATGGGCCCGTTGTCCTATCGGTTTCGATCGGAAATATACAATGGTAGAGGGACGCTCACCGATCGTGCCTACGGAACTCGCTCGTTCCATTGTGCCTTACGGGCTCTCTCCTCTCCTGTTTGAAAACATGTTTGTTTTGTGGGGGTCGTGTGTGGCACGCGTAGACGGGCTGTTTAGCTTTCCTGACCACTACTCCCAGTCCCCGAATCAAGTGACAACCCTGAGCAGACGACAAACTGATGTGTGAGAGACGAAGCAGTGTGAGGTCGACGGTGGGACTGCATCCTCGTGGCACTCAGCGCATATTCGGCCCTATAGACAATTTGATGAGATGTTAAACTATAATGATGCGTTAAAAGCCATGGCTTTGAAAGCGTTAAGCCGACGCGGTAACCCGGTCCTCCTCTCCGGACGGCGATTCAGGCTTCAGTGGCTCCTGGTAAAGGCGATCTCTATGCCATACTCCCGCTTAGATGGGATCCGAGTCGTCTCTTGCTTCTGTGAAACCCTGGTCCTTTGTGCGTGTTGATTACCGGGAGTGTGTGTCCGAAACGCTGTTGCTTCAGCCTTCCGATTTATTTGTTGGTCTGCTATTACTTCTTAGCCTATCTTATGATTACTCGTACCATGGGGAACATTGCAGACAAAACTGCTTTCCCTATAAAAGTAAACAGTATATTCCCAAACCAAAGTGTTCTGCTTGTTTCAAATCGAGCCCTTTGAGAGGACATGATATCAACCGACCTTAAATTTTGACTGACACCATCTAGGGGAGCTGAGGGATATCGCATATCCAAAGTGTATGGGAAGTATACGTAGCTATCATTAAGAATATATATGCACGTTCAGAAGAATAAGCCCGCCATATCAGCCCCCTCCTCCCCACTGATGGGCGCCAGAGTTGAAACCTGTTTTCTACCCTTTTTACGTTACAGCAGTCGACCATTCTGTCCTCTGACGCCACATTCAGCACGGAAGATGCTCTGCCAGAAGACGTCATTTAATTATGATTTTGTGTATTTTGCAGAATAGCAACAACACATCAGAGTAGGCTGGAGCCGTGGGGTGGGGGAGGGGGAGGCAGAATCCGTTTTCCCTCTCAGCTTGATCTAGAGGGTATTTATTCCTTCAAATTCTTCACATAGGTAGCGATTCCCTTGACGGCTCGCATGCGAACTGCACGAAGTTGCATTAGCGTCTCCAGGAAGGGGGAAGGGACTTACTTTTCTTAAGGACTTCCAGAATGTCCTCACCCAGTTCTGCTATTGCCTTGCCGAGCTCGTCATCCTCGAAGAACCTGCGGACTTTTTTAATGCATTCTCCCCCTTTGCTTATGACCTGCCTTCTCAGATCATTCAGCTTCTCCTCCTCCTCGCCCTAAAAAGGGACAAACAGTAGCCAAGATGCGCTTCTAACGGAAGTGGGGGGGTTCCCTCCGGCCTTTTTAACCTCCTCTGGCTAACTTACCGCACTAGAAGAGTGAAGATGTTAAGCTAAAGGCGAAGTTTCCTTACCTAACGACGGCGAGAGTCGCTGCGAGAATTACGAAGAGTCCAAGGATAGCAACCTTCATGTTCTCGATGGCGGCGTGGTACTCGGCTAGCCTTCACTCACTTTTATAGCCAAGTGAGTGAAGCTGCGTGCCTGGGGCTGCCTGTTCAGGGTGCACTAACTTGCACAGATACACACATACATTCAGCCCCGTCATGACGCCATACGTTTGCTCCAGTTAGCCTCACAGTAGGGGTGTCCCTGTCTTTCCTTCAGCGTCCTGCGTGCCGACTGTAATAATGACATGTTTATCCGATAACACCGGATGTGCACCTTGCCTGCGTTTATCATCCTCGACTGTCACAGTCGACTTTTTGTCACGTTCATGCGTGTCCTGTTGACTTAATGTTACCCTTCTTTGCATCAATGCTGTCCAGTGCCCAGGCGGACATTTTACTGCCGGTGTTCTGGGTCCGCAGAATTAATTTTTAAAAAAAGAACGGCAGATACCTGCGTTCCAATTCATATATATATATATATATCAATCAGGAATGGGCGCACACCGATCTATATATATATATATATATATATACGTATATAGGATGAACTTCGGTTCGATGAAGTGCATATGGCCCATCTGGTAGACCCCAGTGGTGGACCAACTGTGTTAGGTGTGTCTATGCGCATGTTTGTGTTTCTGGTCTCAGCTGCTGGTCAGGGTAATGCTTGGCTGAATGAAGGCAAAATAAGCCCGAACAGTACTGTATCAATCTACGCGCATTCTCTGCTGTCCCTTCTTGCTGCTATTATAACTTGGCCGACTTCGGCCTGGTAGTTGGTTGCCTGTTCGTGACTTTGACCACCCATAAGGAACTTGTTTGCGTCGGGGAGCCAATAGATCGGTGTGTGACCATTCTGTACTTATATGTGGATACATATAATGTCATTACCGACAAAGACAAGGGAGACTGTAATTGTCATTTCTGGCGTATTAGCCGTCCTCAGCCAGTTATACCCAACCCCAACGTTTAGAACACCTGGGGCTCGAACCCGCGACCTGTTAATTAGAAGTCCAACGCCTATAACCACTGGGCCACGGCCCGTTGTCCTGTCGGTTTTCGATTGGGAATATGCAATGGTTGGGGGACGCTCACCGATCGTTCTTACGGCACTCACTCGTTGTGTTGTGCCTTACGGGTTCTCTCTCTCGAGCCGAACCAGCAGCCGCACGGCGGCGCATGATATAAACAGAATGGTTTTATCAACAAAGGCAAGAGTGACTGGAATGGCCATTTCTGGCTTATTAGTCGTCGTCAGCCATTCATTACCACATCTCGGTATTTCGAAAACTACGGCCGCCCAGGCACCAAAAAAATCCACCTGACGGACTTTCACATGCGTGAAAAATGTATCTGAGCTCTATGAACGACAACTGAACAAACATCAGATACAAGTAGCACACCAACCTGCAACCACCTTGCGTACACAGCTTGTTCACCCAAAGGACAGGGTTGGCTATCTCGTTAGAAAAGGTGCTGTCCACGAGATCCCATGTTCCACTTCTGATGCCGTCTCCTGTGGCCAGACTGTGAAATCTGTCTCAACCCGCCTACATGAGCATCTGTTAGCGGTGAAGATACGAGATCATCTCTCCCAGCTGGCTATGCACACACTGGATATCAGACACAAATTCGCATGGGAGAAGACTTGCATTGTTGGCGCCGGCCCAACAAGGAAAGGCCGCGAATTCCTGGAGGCAATGCACTCAGATGAGGCATTCATCAATCGGCATATCGATTTAGATGCCACACACAGGTTTATCAAGGACAAATGGAGGCTAGCACAGCCAATGTCGAGGGGAGGACGAAAAACCATTGATGTACATTGGCGCAGACTTTGGCCAACCATAGAATCATTTGTTCGACATGTGCGTCAGTCTGTATCAATTGGTTTTCGTCTCTCCCACTTTTCCCTATGCCTATTGATGCATGACTCATCAGAGTCCACGGTCTCAAGAAACTCTCGACCTTTTAGATGGGCAAACGCCAACGATGCAAATTTTGTTCCATGCGGAAGTGTGTCCAGTATCAAGGGTGTGCACGGTCATTTTAAACGGGTGGTCTCGCCTCTTAACTTCCGGTTGATGTCCGTGGATGCATGTAGAGGCAACTTTTCCCGTTTGGCCACAGTATACGGCATCCTAGGCATCGCATGGGACCTTATAGATGACGTCCTTCTTATCAGGCTAGTCAACCCTATCCTTAGGGTGTAAAAGTTGAGTGCGTAAAGTAGTCTTCGGCTTGTGCGTCATTTTTCTTTGGTGCTTCCTCAAGTGTCTTTCAACAAGTTCAGTCACATTCCTGATGTAAGGAAGGATTCGCCAAGTATTTGCTCTCGGCGTTTGATTAGAACTCACCAGTTCCTTTGTTTTTATCTCTTGCTGTCTCATGGATTGACGTACGAAATTTCTGGGGTAGCCATTCTGAGGAAATAGTCCAAACAGGTAATTTAGCTCAATTTGGTACCTTTTATCATCAGAGCAATGTGTTTTTGCTCGATGTAATAGACAGTACTCCGCTGGTGGGATATTGTGCTTTTGCTCACATAGTGTAGAATTACTTCCGCATATGCTTATGTGCGTTAAACGGAAGTGTGTAATGTTCCGTCAGTTTTTCGCTGCATAAGAACATCTAGAAATGGGAGTTTGTTGTCAACTTCTTTTTCGAGCGTAAATTTAATTCGCGGAATGCTTAAGTTAATGATGACGCGGGACATTTCCAGTTGGTCCTTTTTCACGACAACAAATGCGTCGTCTAAATATCGCACCCCTAACCTATGGTTAACTAATGGAAGAGCTGCCGATTCCAGTTTCTGCATTGTCACCTTGGTGCAAGGAAGTCCAAGTAATTCGAATCAGAATGATTGTATTTCACTACCTTAGAAAGTGCATTCTCTTCCGTTTCTGCCGGGACTCTCGGGGACAGATTTACGATCTGTGCAGAAGGCTTTCGCGTTCTATAAGCTGGTGGAGAGGCTGGCTGGAATTCAAAAGGCGAGAATGCACACCTGGACTCACCTTTTCATGAGACAAAACTTGCATCCTCGGAGTTTGCCCTGTTAGCTGTTAATAATGGTAATGTGAGCACGTAAGACAGTAAGCTGACGGAATGCAGGAAAACACTGAAGACTTTCGGTGACGTTCCATCTTGAGAGAGTCCCTGACCATCGAACAACTGAGCCTATCCACTGTCAGGCATTTCTGTTATCCCTCAATTCATGCTCATTTAATCTCCGGTTTTTTTTATTTCTCCACTCTTGGGTACAACAACCGGACCTCAATACTTGACTAGATTTCGCAAGTCCCTATATCAGTACACGATCTACTGTCTACAGTCATTTAATTAGGGTTCTTCACCCTATCGTTGCCCAGAACTCACTCGTCCCGTCGTGCCTAAGGACGCTTGTTCTCTCAAGCCAAACCAGCAATCCCACTGTGGCTCATACTATAGGCAGAAAAGCCTTACCGACAAAGGCAAGGGAGACTGGGATGGCCATTTCTGGCTTATGAGTCGTCGTCGTCGTCGTCAGCCAGTCGCACCCAACTCTGGAATGTGGAACACCTGGGGCTCTCTCCAGCGACCTGTTGGTTAGAAGTCCAACGCCCGCACCCACTGAGCCCTTGCACATTGTCGTGTCGGTTGCGATCGAGAATTTGTAGAGGGACTCCCACTGATCATTTTACGGCATATAGACGAAACATCGAGTCAGTGCTAATGCTATGAAGTGGGATAGGATTTTTCTGAAGTTCCACTTTCTAGAATCAGTGTGTTTTCAGTCTTCAGCAGAAACTCCCTTAAGCCACGAATACCTTGTCCGTGTGCGCGTGCCGCCCCCTCCCCCTACCTGCTAATGATTCACATGCAGACGGCGGTTGTAGCAAACGCGATGTGCCATAAACGCGCTACTGTTTCGTTTAAAGTAGACATTTTAGTGTACTTTACTTGCGTAGGGGGTGATAGTCCCAGGTCGGATGCCCGCAATGTCGGATGTTAAGCTGTGAAAAATACGGGTTATCAGATATGTGCGGTAACTCCATCCACTCTCAATTCTCAAAACTAACGACTCACAGGAGCGTTCGCTCACAGGGCATTCTAGATTCTTTGTGGCATTTCTCTGTTATCCCCATTGAATGGACTAATCAATAACAAATTCGGCGCTGGTTATGAGCTTTTGCACGGATGATCTACTGTCCCACTTTTCATCGCAGCAAGGCGTTCAATTTTTGACTCTTATGTGCCGTATTAGTGGCCTTTAAGCCTTAAAACACGTTCAGTGGACCAAGCTGCCTTAAACTCGAAACAACAAAGTATGACATCGTTCGAACGATTTGCTTCAACATTTTAATATCAGATTTTTTGAAGTCTGCTTGTGGTTATCTAACACTTACCCTATACCACCAATAAGTACAGACCTTACTTATTATTCTCGGACTGGCAGTTCACTCTTTGCTCTTCATATAGCCACGACACACGATCAATCTTTTTATGTATAAACTTTTCTTCATGGTTTTTGCTAATACCTCAACAACGCGCATGCATAGCGTAATATCAGAGTGGCGTTCTCACAATCATCTCTGTATAAAACACCATGCCCTAGAGGGCTTTCTGCAAATCCTGGGATATCAGATTAATGGGGATTCACAAGTCCAGTAAGTTGTATTCTTAAATAATGTCTACTCACTTTGTTTAGGTAGTTTAATATTACAAACTATATCTGTGACCCACTTCAGTTGGCGCTTTCTTCCCTGTCCGATTGATGCACCATCTTTGACTTCCCTCAGCCCATCTGGCTCCGTCACGTTGGAATCACGTATTTTGATCTCCATTCTTTCTCTGACTCTCCCTCACACAGTTGGTCAACAGCTAGTTAGCAAACTACCACCAAGTGCCCATTCGCACTGCCCAGTATTTCTATCGCACCCGAGAGCAGTCATCACAAGCGTGCCAGTACTCACTACCTGGCCATGAAATCAAGGTCTTTTGTCATGTTGATTACATTTTATTTAATCACAGTCAATGGAGCTCACAGAGACTTTGCGAATTGAGGCTGCCTTTATCGAAATCGGGTAATCAATTAATATAGTAGCGAATATGTAGTTGTGCCGCGGGAGTCACTTTTCGTCCATCAGTTTGCGAAGGTACGTCTTCAAGCCCGTTCTTACCTGCTGTCGAACTAAAATGGCATTCGTTAGTTGGGAAGGCGGGGCCTCCGGGACTTACTTTTCCACATGACTTCCCAGCAGGTCCTGCCGAGTTCTTTTATCTTCATCCCCAATTCATCCTCATCAAAGAATTTCCTCATTTCTGTAAGCCTGCGCGTCATCGTATTTCGCATATACTGTTAAAGTCGCAAAGAAATTGCCAATTTTTTTTATCCGGTTCATTTACTAAGGCTCCATAGAATGTGCTTTTTCTCTGCCCTGATTACTCATCAGTAGGCGCCTAATGGGCCGCCTTGGGGATTCTGTAGTGAGGGCTTCCTGGCAACCTATCGTGTCATCATTGTTGTCATCATCCATGAACTGACAGAGTCTTAGTTATCCTAAGAAATATTCGGCTCTTTTGGGGATTTTATCGTCTTCATCCGGCCCTAGTTTTCTAAATTCTATTCATCCTAGAGTGTGCTACTGACATGAACTGCACAAAATGGATGATTTGCAATATATAGGGGAAATACTTGACTCACATCGTCACTAAAAAGTTGCGGTTACTTAGGGCGAAGCGTAGGCTGCGAACTTACTCAGCGGAGACCGCCGCAACGGCTATGATGGCGAAACAGATGAAGAGGGTACCAGCGTGCATTGCTTTCGTGCCTGCGATTCAAATTCTCTCATCCGACCTGGCCAGTTTTATATGCCAGTCGCACATCCTGTCTAGCCGAGTACAAAACATCCCACTATCGCCCCGCATGGGTTTCTTCCTGTTTACTGTCTATCGCCTGTTTTCCGAATCATTTGAACACTTCAAAGTGTCCAATTTAGACCAACCGCAAAAACAGTCATTAATTTTATGAGCGGAGAGAGACGGGAGGGGGGAGGCGAGAAAAAAAGTGGTCCTTGCACTAATTGCGGGCTTAGAGGGGGTAGAGGCAGTCTTGGATGCCACCTGAAGTCAGAGAAAGATGGAGTCAGAATGGCATTACCGACAAAGACAAGGGAGACTGGAATGGCCATTTCTGACTTATTAGCCGTCGTCAGCCAGTCATAGCAAACTCCGAAGTGTGGTACACCCGAGGCTCGAACTCGCGACCTGTTTGTTAGAAGTCCACGCATTTAACCACTGAGCCACGAGCCCGTTGTCCTGTCGGTTTTCGATCGGGAATATACAATGGTAGGGGCGTTTACCAATCGTTCTTACGGAACTCACACGTTCCCGTGTGCCTCGAGTGTTCCACACCTGGGGGTTGGGCATGACTGTCTGACGATGGCTAATAAGCCAGAAGTGACCATTGCAGTCTCCTTTGTCTTTGTCGGTAATGGCATTCTGCGCCGCTGTGCGGCTGCTGGTTGTGCTCGAGAAAGAGCTCGTAAGGCACATGGGAACGATTCAGTTTCGTAATAACGATCGGTGAGCGCCCCCTACCATTAAGGTCGAGTTGCTTTACTACATCCTTCCTTCCTGTTGGAGGGTCGAGTCCTGCCCTCGGCCGGCAGCATTTAAAGCCGTCTGAGTACTAGACTGGTTTCCTTATCCATTTATTGTGATCACGTAATGTGGCCTGGAGGTGCTTGAACCCACTGTTGCCTTCATTACCGCGACAGGTTTGAATCACGCCTGTCGGTGGTAAGACTGTGACCGCTGATTGATTGTTGATCGCATTCAATGGGCATTTATATAAAATTACGCACTCGGCTTAACCCAGACAGCATTCTAAACCGGGAGTTTCACTTACTCGTTCAAAGTAACTGCACATGGAAACCCTTCCCCCAGCCTTACCTCCACCCTCTAATCCAGAAGAGTCCAGTGATACGTAAACGAAAGTCGTCTCTACATTATGCGGACTTTTTCACGTTCTTTATCAGTATTGATCTAAAGTTCATTCGTAGGAGTACATTCAGCAGTCCCGTTTGCGGATGCCGGCGATGCAGTCACCCTTGCTAAACTGGGAGTTTGCGGGTCATGCGAGTTTGTTCGCTCCTCTAGGTCCTTTTTTTGGGGTGTGCGGGCGAGTGGACCACGAAAAGACCAAATGGTGTAGGGGAGATATAATAAAATATTAAAGCAGTAAGCGCATTAGGTGGATTTTCCAGCCCATATTTTTAGTGTATGTTGTCTTCCTTAAGGAGTTCCTTCAGCATCAGTTTCACCTGTTCACGCATCGGCTCACGAACCAAAATGGGAATGTGTCTGGCTGATGTGGGTACCCCACTGCAACACACGAGTTCCCGAATTTTCTCCTTCAGTCCTTCGTGAACATCGCGATGGGTTTCGCTTTTTCCTCTCGGACATCGGCTTCATCATCATGTGAATGGAGGGGAGGGCTATCATCACACACACACACACACACACACACACACACACACACACACGACAGTTCGACCGTCGATTTCGACGATGTCCACCGTGTGCTCCACAGACTGCATTGCGGGAGCAGGGACGGTGACTTACGCAGGGTTTTATAGTGCGGGTAGACTTGCGTAGCATCTACCTACACTCTCTCCTCCTCCCCCGCCTGGGCCCGGTGTCAAGACAGAGTCAAGAAGACCGGAGACGAGGGAGGCCGCAGGTGGATGACTCGGACGGATCCTCACCTTGGCGTTCCACCACAACCCCTGGTCCACACAACAATAACCAGGATTTCAACCAACACAACAGAGATTTGGAGGCTGGCACGGCCGAAGCTGCACCTGTGTGATTCTAGGGATCACACACCCACACACACGCCTAGATGTAGTGTGGGTCAAAATCACTTGAATCGCGCGACGTCTTGTCTGTACAGCAAACGCCCGCTTCGTCCTTTCTGCAATTTAAAGCCAACCCGACCCACACCTCTCGCCCTCTGCTCTGTCATGCGTGTGTATGAGTGTGTTTGTGTCACCTATCATACTTTGCCCTGTCTACTGCTTCTCATGAGAATATATGCGTATATAGACTGCAACTGCGATCTGCCCAGTAATGTTAGCGAAACTGGCAAACAGGTTCGCACGAGATTGCATGAGCACGAGTTGGCTGTGTGACGGAAGGATAAACTCTCCATGGTAGCCGCCCACGCCTCCTCGCCAGGGCACGCCTTTGACTTTGAGAGCGTGAGAATACTGAGCTGACTGAGCGTTCACTCAGCCGAAAGATTCATCGAAAAGCTGCAAGGTATTCGACTCACAGAGGACGAAGTGATGGTTTCTTTCGACGTGATATCACTTTTCACTTTCATCCCACAGCATCTCACGGTTGAAACCCTTCAAACCCTGTTAGAAGAACATACGGACAAAAACGGACAAAAACGAAACGGACAAAAACTCAAGACAAAACACCTTATTGATCTCCTGAAGCACTGCTTGAAGACTTTCTTCACCTTAAACGGAGCTGTGTACGAACAAGTTAAAGGTACACCCATGGGGTCACCGCTATCCAGCTTGATTGCTGAGGCAGTGTTACAGCGACTGGAGGCACTGACTTTTGACCACTATCGGCCACGACTGTGGGTACGGTATGTCGATGACACATTTGTCATCATCAATCGGGATAAGATTGGGGAATTCAGGCGACACCTCAACTCGATCTTCCCAGACATCCAGTTCACGATGGAGGAAGAAAAAGATTGCCAGTTTCCGTTTCTTGACGTACTAGTTCGGAGAAATGGTGATAGTGAACTAAAAACAACGGTTACCCGCAAGGCAACGAATACCTCCCGTATTCTCAGTTGTCTTAGCTACCATCCTCTCTCGCACAAACGCCGCTGCGTGGAAACACTCTATCGGCGTGTAGAAACCCATTGCACCGAGCCAGCCAACAAGAAGGCTGAGGCCCAGTTCCTGCGGAAACTCTTCACAGCGAACGGCTTCCCTGGGAATGCTGTCAAAAAGTGCAGGTGAGAAACCCGGGGCAGAAAATCGAAGGGGCAACCAATACCGAAATGCTGGCGTGCAGTGCCGTACATAGCCGGTGTGTCAGAAGAATTCGCCAGACTGATGAGCGAATGTGAGATTGGTGTCGCTCACAGACCTGAGGCAACAATACGCCGGCAACTCATGCACCCTTAGGACCCGATTCCCATCGATCAGAAATCGATGATCATTTACCGGACAGACTGCAGTTGTGGTCAAGCCAATTATGTTGGTGAAACCGGCAAACAGGTATGCACGAGATTGCACAAACACGAGTTGGCTGTGAGATGGAAGGATAAACTCTCCATGGTGGCTGCCCACGCCTCCTCGCCAGGGCACGCCTTTGACTTTGAGAGCGTGAGAATACCGGGGCGGTCAGATGACTGAGTTGCGCGCCTGCTGCAGGAAGTGTGGCACTCAACTGAGGACTCGATCAATCGACACATCGATCTGCCAACCGTTTATCGAGCACTTAGTGAGCAAATCAGCAGCGCAGCTAAAAGTCATCCCCGCCAGAGGTGAGCTGAAATGGGATGAGTTGTACAGTTTTTCATTCCTTGACGATGGACTCGCATGAGTTTTCGAAACTTATGATAAATAAACAGTCGGTCCCAGCGATCGCCTTTCCCTCTTCTTCTATTCAATTACCTCGGCCGCGCGTCTTCTCTATCATTCGAGATATATATATATAAGCAGCTCATTAAGAGCGCAGCAGTCCAGACGCAGACAGCTGTTTCACGGTCGTTACCGATTATATACCTAATTTGTGTATTCCCACCCGATAAAATTATAAGCAGGGCTGTTGGCTATGCAATTTTCGCTGTGAAATCCTACCCATACATCAGCAGCAATTACAGATAGTCATTTAACTGAACCTCTTTGTTTCAAGCCAGAGGTGTGCGTACCATCGTTGTGTCTAGGCTTTTCCCAGTCTATGCAATTCCGAAGGATTTGAAGTTTTCTGTCTGCAATTCATCCGCAAGGAGCACTCATCCCAGACTTTGGGAATGTCAGCCCTGGTCATCACAGTGTCCAGCTGCGGTGCGATTCACTAGAAATTGCCCCGCTTGCTGACCTTTAAATCTCCATTTATGTGGTCGCTTCAATTATGTCAGTCATATCAAAGGCGGTAAGCGCAGTCTCGTGCATTCAAACAGCACAGTAACTGCGTTTGAATCTTACCGCTTTGTGAAGCCAATAGATCGGTGTGCGCCCATTCCTGATTGATAAATACCCGATCTGCAGCGACAGAGAATGA